ATCGGACGCGCGCTTGTCCATCGTCGCGCGCATGGCCTCGAGCTTGGCTTGGTACTCTTCGATGCGCTGGTTCTTGTCCGCGACAAGCGCCTTCAAGCTCGCAATCGTCGCCTGCGCGGCTTGCTGCAGATTCGCTTGGTCCTTTTCATAGTACCTACACACGACTCTATCTTGATACATTGATAGAGTTCGCACGGACCCGACTTTGGAGCGCATCGACGGCGAGCTCGGCGCGGTCCCCAGTGGCGCGATCGTCGTAGCAGGCTCCATGTGTACGTGCTTTTGCTGGAGCTCCATCAGCAAGGTCTCGACGCGCAGCTCGAGTTGGCGGATCTTGTGGTCGCGCTCCGTCACCTCCTTGCTCGTCTGCTGCATGCGTTTTTGCACCTTGTCCATCTCAAACAAGGTCGCATCCAACTGCGTTTGGAGTACTTGCTTTTCTTGGACAAGCCGTTCCGAGGGCAGCATCGCCGCCGAGGCCTTGGCAGCATCATCGAGCTGGGCCAAGAGCAACCTAGACACATCTTCTTTCAAATCAAGAGAGAAAGGTCCAAAGCACGTACGCTTCTCGCTGCTCGAGGACTTGGACGCGGTATTTGAGTCGCTCGACAAGGTGGATGTCGGCGCCAAGAACGCCAGGCCCGACGACCGCGTCGTGCTCGGACTCGAGCTCTTCGATGCGCCGCTCCAGCTGGCGCTTCTTGGCGTGGACAGCAGCGAGGTCGTCGTCGAGAGCTTCGAGGCGCGACGCCATCGCATCGAAGCGTTTGATTTTGGCGACCACGTCCGACGCTTGCAAATGCGCGACTGTCGACTCGAGGATCGCGATGCGCTGGCGTTGCGTCTCGAGCTGTCCCGCGTAATGATTCGACGTGTGTTCGAGCTGCATCGAGAGCGTATTGATCTGGAGCTGGGCCGCGCGCTGGGCCTCCACCGCTTGCTCGTACCTATTCCCTTTAGCGTGAGCCCTCGTTGAAGCAGCGAGATGCAACACGAGAGGTGTACCGATCTGCAAAGGCTTGGTAGTTGGCCTTGATCCCGACGATCTTTTGCTGCAGCTGCCCGATGATCGCGTCATCGTCGGAGCGCGCGCTGAGCTCGTGGAGCCGTGCTTCAAGTGCGTCGATTTCGTCCCGGCGCCGCGTCTGGCGCAGCGCGAGCGTGTTGGCCTGTGACGCGGCCAGCGTCGCCACCTCCTTTTGTTTCTGCACCTATTTTCACCCATCAATCAATCGACAAGTCTTCATGGTGCGAGAAAGTGTACCTGACGCTCCAACGACCCGCAGAGCTGCTCGAGCTCGGCAATGCGCTGCTCGTACACGTCGTGGACGTTGGTGCTGGACGGCGCTGGCTCCGGCGTTGTCTCGGGCATGCCTGCTTCGAGCTCTTTGATACGCGCCAGCTGCGACTGCACTTGAACTTCAAGCGCCTGGACGCGTTCGTTTTGGAGCTTGTCGATCGACTCGCCGTTCAGGCGCGCGAGGAGCTGTGCGTTCTGGTGTAGCAGCGACGCGTGCTGAGCTGGTAGCTCGAGCGTCGCAAGGTAGTGTGCGTGGCGGTCCGTGTACTTTTTCAGCAGCGCTGCGTGCTTTGTTTGGAGTCGCTGGAGCTCGGCGAGGACGCCGTCATAATGGCGCTTGAGCACACTCTTGGTCAGCGCCGTCTCCATGTGCTGGAGCCGACTCAACGCGCCTAGCGCCGTCGATATGTCAAGATATCAATGTATCAAGTTGGACATACCCTCGCGCCACGCCTCGAGGTACTGGATGCGCACCTTGAGCGTCTTTTCCAGGGCGAGGAGGTCGTCTTCGGCGGCGACGCGGCGTGTAAACTCGGTCTGTTTTTCTTCCCGCACCAAGTTGAATTCGCGTGCGAGCCGCGCTTGGTTGACTTCAAAAATGGCCACTTGCCGCGTGAGCGACACGAGAGTCTGCTGCATCTCGCCCTCCTTCTCGAAACTCTGCAGCATGAGCTCGTACCTACGTCGATGATCATGCTCCTTGCATCCACAAACAGCAAAAAGAAGGACCGATTGAGCTTGATGGACGCTTCGTCGACGTTGGCGGTCATGGTTGCGAGCTGCGTTTCCAGCGACGCCCGGCGCTCGGCAAACGTTTGCTGCAGCGCGATATGCTCGCTACATCCAGCATAGGACACGCTACATGAGAAAAGGACGGGGTTATCGATGTACTACCGATAGAGCACGGTGTGGTTGTCTTGGACGCTGGCCAAAAGACCTTCGAACGCCTCGAGCTTGCTGCGGAGGCTGTGGTTCTCCAACGTCACGTGCGTGAGTTCGTCCAAGCACGTGTCGAGCTCGATCGCCCACTGCGTTTGCTCTTCCATCTCGTCCTGCGTCTCGAGAATCACATGGCGCCGGCCGTCGTTCGTCGTCGTCTCGTGTGTTGTTGCCTCCTGCTGCGTCGGCAAATGATGCTGCAAGCCGCGGGCTTCGAGCGCCTTGGAGACCGCGGCCGCAATTTCGTCGGCGGACGGCGGCGGCTCTTGCAGCACGACGCTTGCGGGCGACAAGAGACCGGATGTGTGGACGCTGGCGTGCTTGGTGAGTCGTGGATGATGCTCCAACACAGTCTCGTCTTGAGATGGTGCTGGCGCACTCATGTCGCCGCCGCCAAGGTCTCCAAACTCCAAGCTCTCGTCGCTGCTCTCGTCATCGGATGCGACCGCTGCCTCGCGCATGACCTACGCCATGTATATCAATGTATCAACTCAAGCTCCACCACAACTCGAACGGCTTTACCTGCATGTGCTCACGCATGTGGCTTTGCAATGCCTCGGTCGCGCGCCACACTTCGTCTTTGACCGTGGTTGCCCACTCGGGCGGGCCGTTCGTTGGCGCAAGACTTGACGCGGCCACGACCGCCGAGAGCCGAGCGACGTCGGCTTGCAGCTGCGTGTTGGCGTCGTACAGCTTGCGTAGCTCTGCGCTCGCGTCTTTTGTCGGCGACAAAAGGCGAGGCGGCGCAGAGGCGTCGACTGTGTCGCCGTTCTGAAGCCGGTAGATGAGCTCTTGGACTTGATCGTATTGGGCACTGGTGAGTCCGTGGTGCTCAAAGAGGTAGGCCCCCGTCTTCTTGGCTTGGTCTTTGAGCTTGGTGAGCAGCGCGACGCGCTCGTCTTCCAGGGCCGCGACTTGGGCTTCGAGCTGGCGGATGAGCGCGAGGTTGCCTTGGACGCTTGTCTCCAAGACGAGATCCGGGTACTCGAACTCGTCTGGCTTGCCCGCGTCGCCTACGCAGATACATGAAGAATGGGGGAACCGGTTTAGAGAACTGGTCGCACGCTTGAGCCGGGTACACGCAGCTTGGAGCTTGGAGATGGCGTCCTTGTGGCGACTGAGCTCGACGCGCAGCGCCGCATTCGCACTCTCTTGCGCGCTCAAGTCGCTTCGGAGCTTCTTCTGGTGCCGGACGACGTCGGTCAAGCCGGCCTTGGCTTCGTACTTGGCGTTCCACGCCTCCGCTTCCCGACACTGCGACTCGATTGCGACGCAGCGCGCCTCCATGTCGGTGAGGAGCCCGCGCTGCTCCTTGACGCGTGCTTTCCACACGTCGACGTCGCGAAGCGCGTCCTGCATTTGCTGCCGCTGGACCTGCACCGTCGCCTCGAGCTGCTTGATATCGTCTTTCGGCACAAAACTCTCGGCCATCGTGCTCAAATCGGCGTTCTTTTGAGAAATTTTGGTTTTGAGTTCGGCGATCTGCGCCTTGTCCTGGAGACGCATGTCTTGCAGCACGAGGATCTTGGCTTCGAGGTCGCTCAGCGCAGCGTCCTTGACATCGTTCGCCGTCGTCGATACGGCTGTCGTCGCGGTTGTGCTCGCCTGCTTGAAGGATTTAGTGTGAGGAGAGATATGGGTGTCGCGACGCACCTCGAGTTCGCGCACTCGGAGCTTCCACTGCTCAAGTTCCGCATGCATTCCGCGCCGTTCAGCATCGAACTTGGTTTTGAAGTCCGCGATCATCGCATCCACGTGCGCTTCGGCCGCGTCCATCTCGAGGATCTTGCGCTCGAGGCCTTGCTTCTCGGCGTCGTGGGACTCGATCTTGTGGAGGAGCTCCGTCACCGCCGTCGTCCGGTCGTCGAGCGCACTTGAGAGCGCCGCCTTCTCATCGTCGGCGACCTGCAGCTTGGCTTCGGCGTCCAAAGCGACTCGCGAGAGCTTCTCGACAGCAGTACGAAGCTCGTTGTTATCATCTCGCAGCTGCTCGTTCTCGCGGAGGGCCGCGTAGAGCTCGTCGCGGCGGCCATCGCTGTCGTTCTTGAGACGCGCGAGCTCATCGGCTTGCGGAGCACTTGACTTGGCCACGAGGGCGGCGGCCAGTTGGGCATGGGACGCGTCGAGCTTTGCCAGTTGATCCGCAAGCGCTGCTTCACGCGCGAGCGACGCATCGAGCTTGACTTGGAGCTGCGTGACCATCTCGTTATGGGGCTCGTCTTCATCTTCTGCGATCGTTGCGACGCGGGCCGTGCGCGGGGTCTGGACTTGCTCGCGCAGGTCGGCGTTCATGGCCTCGAGCGTGGCGACTTGCTGGCCCAGCGACGCCGAGTGCTCATGGAGCTTGTCGTTCTCGAGCTGAAGCTCTTCCACGTCGCGGCGAAGATGCTCGAGCTCCTTCTGGACTGCCGAGCAGTCGGCCCGCGGACACGGCGATGCCATCGGTCGGGAATATCTTGGACAGCTCCTCTCGCCAATTGGCTGAAAAGGCCGCCGAAAAGACATGCATTTGCGCCAATGGCATTGTCACCAGCAGCGGTGAAACTAGGAAGTATGTCCTAAACAGACTATTTATGCTGTACGTTTCGGCAATGTCCTTGTTTTCGCCATATACTAGTGTTCAAGCATGAACCGAACGCGGGAACACTCACTGAGGCAACACTGGTGCACAACGTGAGTGAGGTCTGTGGGCGGTCGCATCATTCTTCAATTTGACCGATGGCAGCGAGAACTCCACTGGCCACAGCCATCGTGGCTCTTCACCGCAAGCAGCTTCTTCGGGACCTTGCGATTGCCAAAGTGAAGCGGGTGCAGAAGGCATGGCACGCATCCAGCACGATGAGAAGCTGGCCGCGATGCAATGTGCCAGTTGAGTTTGCCGAGGAAGAGATGCAAGAGCTCCATCGCCAACGCAGCGGGCCGGATGTGGTGCGCGACTTTTTGAATCGGGTCTGCGCTGGCTGGGACGGCGCGTTTTACAAGGCGTTGATCCAGGCGGCGTTGGCAGATCCCGAGACGTTGAAGCAACTCCGGTGTTTACTTTCTTTCCATGGCCTGTCTCCGAGCGATTGTTTCTTCTCGTTGACCATCTCTTGACTAGGTCGTGGTGGTCGACCACGCCTCGGTGCACTTGGTGCTGCACGACCCTTTTACTTTTAGTTGTATATGGTCGGCGTCGTGCTAAAGCGCCAGCAGACACCAAGAGACAATGAAAGGTTGTGGATTCTTTTTCTATACAAAGTAGTACATTGACGGATGGAGTGACATTTACGCAGTCGCGTTCTCGGTGTTAAGGAGTGCGTCCTTGGACTTGGCCTCGGCCAGCTGCTTGCGTGGCGTCGAGAGGTCCGCTGTAGCCTCGGCGCTTGCCTTTTGCGGTACATACGCCGGCGCCTCCCTACCCACGCGCCATAAATCCCATTTTTTGCTTCAATTGCGACAGAGAATACGCACTGTCCCGTCGCGGCCTTGAACGTCTGGCGCAAGTACACGATTTCATCCGATAAAAGCTGCTTCTCGACCTCAAGCTTCTTGCATTGGACTTCGAGTTCTTCGTACGGCAGCTTGGCTACACCCAAGGATGATGATACCGCTCAGAACCCAACGGGTGGGACCAACCTGTCGCGGTGCCGCCAAGGAGACTCACTATCATTGGGTTGGCCGTGCTGATCGCGTCTTTCGGCGGGTCCAAAATGTAGGGGTTGATGTACAGCTGGAACTCGAGCCGGTGCGTCTGAAGGTACTGGACAAACTCGGCCGTGACGCACGGCACGTGGTGCACATGCGAGTAATTGAAGACGGGGTTGCGCGTGTTCTGCTCGACGCTTTCGGTCGTGAAGAGCTCGCCGAGGAACTCGTACTGGACATACGCCAAGTCCGTAATCATGGGCAACCCCGTCGCGCCCTTGATCTCGAGCTTGTACGTCCACGACTTGCCCACCTATTGTATCACGTGAGAAAATAATGGACAATATTGTCGATGCGTCGACAGACCAGATCCATGGGGCCATCAATGTCTTGGATGTTGTCCGGGTTGTGCTGCGCCTCGTCTTCGGCGCTCAGCGGCGTCCACACGACCTCGAGTTTCCCGATCGTGTTGAACGGTGGCACCGCGTTCTTGATGTTCATGCGACTAACACTCGTATTTCGTGCAAGGAATCGATGGGAGGTGACGAACCTTTCGTCCGGATCCGTCTCGAGGTTGTACAAGAGATACTCGGGAAAGTTGGTCGCACTGCCGACCTAGATATTTGATACACCGTGAGTAGAACCAGTGAGCGTTCTACTCATTCTACGTGGAACGAGTTGTCGAAGAGGAGTGTAATTGGATCGTGGCCCATGGGCGACGTGTACTCGCGGTTGTTGGCGATTGCGTTCTTGAGAAACGCAACTTCGTCTTTCAAGAGCGAGTACGCCTTCACAAACTCAAAGACATCGAGCAAGATCGTCTCGTCGGTTTTGCTGTTGTGGACCTTGACCTTGACCTGCGGAATGCCTAGACAAAGTGCATTCTATTTAGGACAATCGAGTGGAACCAACGCTACCTTGGCCGTCGCCGCCCGTGCCTTTGAGCGCCGTCTCAAAACTCAAAACGTCGCGATTGAGCACATGGACGATCTGCTTGAGCTCGTTGATCTTGGGCAAAACGTCCCGCAGCTCTTGGTCGTTGACTTGTCGCGCGAGTCGCTCCTTCTCCTACAAGGCACAAAAATCATTTTAATAAATCCAATAAATCCTCAAAAGTCAAGCAGAAGGGTGTCCACCTGCTGCTCGAGCTCTTGCAGCTTGCGTTCTTGCTCAGCAACTTCTTCCGGTGTCGCCGATGAGAGCGCTTCGGATCGCGCGGCCTGAGCTTGGGCCTTTTGCTCTTCCCACGCGGCCTTTTCCGCTTCAAACTGCAGCCGCTGCGCCTCCAGCGCTTGCATTGCCGCTTTATCTTGACTCTGGAGCGCCTCTTGGAACTCATGCGCCGCATCGTCGGCGGTCGGTGGCTCCTTCCCTGGGTCCTCGCGGCCTACGCACGGAAAATTGATTTTAGGGCTAGGTAAAGGGCTAGGGTACTGACCCGGGTAGCGGAAGAGCATGAGTTCGTTGCCAATCACGACGCGATCGAACGCAGCAAGCTCAACACGCGTGCCTTTCTCGAGTTTCTTGCCATTGTGCATCGTGTCGCCGTTGCCACCGACCAGCGTGACCACGCTGCCTGTGTCGGCGCCAGCTTCGGAGAGCACGGGCGGTGATTTCTCAAAGCTGCAGTGGCCGTCGACGACCGAGAGCGACATGGGCTTGATGTCACCTTTCGTGCCCACGATGGTCACCTAGTACATCCGTTATTGACACTTTAGCCACTCGGGTAGGTTGAGATCCATCCATACTTCCTTCGTCAGCAGGTACATGAAGCGCTGCGACCGGTAGGCGTCGACGTCGAGGTTGATCAAGTACGGCAGCGTCGTCTTCTCTTCAAAGAACGTGAGCGAAATCCCCCGCTTCTCGTACTCCTCCTTCTGCCGCTGCATGGCCTCCTCTTGGGCCTTGGGCTTGGACCCGCCGTCGCCGCCATCGCTCGTCTCGCCCGAGAGAACACCTAAGGTCATCGACCGCATCAGAAACGATGCCGTAGATCCTAGAAAGACCTTCGAGTTCGCGTTGCTTTTGGGCGAGCAGGGCGCTGATCTTGTCGACTTGGTCGCTGCCACCGCCGCCGCCACCCATCTTGGCCATCTTTTCGTTCTCGGCCTTGAGCATCGCGACAAGGTTCTTCATCTCGTCGAGCTCTGCCATGAGCTACATGACCAACGATGGGCTCTGTGATATGGTGGCCAGAAGGAGGCACCTTGCGTTCTGCGGGCGACGCGGCCGCCGATGCCTTCTTGGGCTGGAGCTTGATGACGGACGCGTTCTTGGCAAAGCCGAGCGTGGAAAAAGTGTAGTTGAGATACGTCACTTCGGGTCGGACGGCACAAAAAAGATAGGTTCTAAGGCGATTTTCAAACGGTGGAATATATTGTCGTATGTGTACCGGGCTTGGAGCATCGTGTCCTTGAGGTACTTGCAGAGAAAGTACGAGTTGCAGCCTGGGATGCTCGCACCCGGCTTGAGCGTCTTCTTCTGGACAGCCTCTAGATATATTACATGTTGGTTCTGTACATGTACGATAGGAAGGACGAAGTACCCGCCATCTTCATGAAGAACTGGGCCATTTCCGTCAAACTCAGATTGATCTTCTTGCCTTGGTCCTGGAGCTCCTTGGATTTCGACGCATCCTGGTGCGGTCCGAGGTACTTCATCTCGATCGACCCGTCGTCGAACACGAGCTTTTGGTAGTTGGCGTACACAATGTCCCCGGCAGGCTCGGTGCCGGCCAAGTCACAGACGTAGATACGCCCGCGCTGCTTCATGCCTTCGCGCTCCGGGTCGGGCTTCTCGACTTCAAGCGTCATGATGCAGTGGCCGCGCGTCGACTGGTGGTTGAACTGCGTCGGTGCAATCGCTTTGCGCGAGTTGGCGCTCATAAATGTCCGGCGGAGATCGTTCCAGTCCTTGAGCACGACGCCCTATCCGGACCGTTGGATCCTTTTTTGTCTACAAGTGGACAAGATTGTCATATGTACCTGGCACCACTCAATGTCCATAAAGCCATCCGGGTCCTTGCGCATGCCGTCCTTGTACTGCTGCTCTTGGGCCATCGGCGACATGAGGTCGCGGACCGTGTCGACGACGTTTT